TTGTACCCTATAGGGACCATATGTGTGTGTGTTACTTAAATATTTCAAAAAATATAACACATATTGGACCATAAGAAAAGTCTCAAAGTCTCAATACATTCTGAAATACAGAAATTATATAGATTATATCCTTTAACTTCAATGTAGTAACAAAAAATCAACATTATAAACAAAATGCCAACAAAATGAAAATGACATACAAAATATTACTGAAAACACTTTTCTAAATAATTAACTCTTCAAAGTAACAATTACAATACTCTTCCAGGCCAGGCACAGTGGCCCATGCCTGTAATCCTAGCACTTTGGGAGGCTAAAGCAGGAGGATTGTTTGAGTCCAAGAGTTTGAGGCTAGTCTGGGCAACATCATGAGATCCCATCTCCAATTAGCTGGGCATGATGGTGTGTGCCTGTGGTCCCAGCTACTTGGAAGGCTGAGGTGGGAGGATTGCTGGAGCCCAGGACTTTGAGGCTGCAGTGAGCTGTGATCAAGCTGCCACACTCCAGCCTAGGAGATAGAGCAAGACCATGTCAAAAAAAAAAAAAAAAAAAAAAAAAAAATCCCTCTTCTAAACAATTATTTAAAATATTCTTCTAGGCTGGGCACAGTGGCTCATGCTTGTAATCCCAGCACTTTGGGAGGCCAAGGCAGGCAGATCACTTGAGGTCAGGAGTTCAAGACCAGCCTTGCCAACATGGCGAAACCCTGTCTCTACTAAAAATACAAAAATTAGCCAAGTGTGGTGATGCTTGCCTGAAATCCCAGCTACTTGGGAGGCTGAGGCAGGAGAATCACTTGAACCCAGGAGGCGGAGGTTGCAGTGAGCCGAGATCACACTATTGCACTCCAGCCTGGGCAAGAGAGCAAGACTCTTCCTCAAAAACAAACAAACAAACAAAAAATATTCCTCTAAATAAGTATATGACAAATAGTTTAGAAAATAATCAAAATATGGGTGATATATATTAGACCAAAGAGTTCGGCCAAAGATAAGTTAAAACATAGCATTGTTTTTAGTACTACCAAGAAAGTAATAAAATGCTAAAACTTTACATCATTATGTTAGAGAAAATACAGAAAAACTCCTAAGGAGTTTTGGAACAAGCACAAAATGATCAGTGAATCCAAGAACTGGTTCTTTAAAAGAAAACACACATACATACATAACAGACAACCACCCACCACATATTTTAAAAAGCACTCCAAAGGAAAGTTTTATGTGAAAAAGAGGTTACAACAATATAAACAGAGGGAATGTTAAAACAAAAACACTATATAATTATTTTCAATAAAGTACAGATTATAAGTTACCAAACGCCAGTCAAAAATATGAATATTAGCCAGGCAATGTGACGTGTGCCTGTAATCCCAGCTACTTGGGAGGCTGAGGCAGGAAAATCACTTGAACTTGAACTCGGGAGTTGGAGGTTGCAGTGAGCTGAGATAGCACCACTGCACTCCAGCCTGGGTGACAGAGCGAGACTCCATCTCAAAAAAAAAAAAAAAAAAAAAAACAACCCACAGAATCTATCAATCAGTCACAATGCACAATGAATGAACAAAAAAAAAGAGAGAGAGAATTACTTCCAAAAAGGCTTAGATGATCTTTTGAGGGATTTTTTTCCTAATATTCAAGCAATTTCTATTTCTCATGCAATACACACTGTCCTGTAACATAGAAAAAAGAGGAAGCTGCTAAATTTATTTTAGGCAGCTCATAGACTATTGATAAGAAACCCTGTTAAAAATAGAACAAAACCAAAAGCTAAGACCAATTTCACCCAAGGCTGTGACACCACTATTACTATTCACAGCCAACACATGTTGAGCACTTGCTTTACATGGACTGTCTCACCGAATCCTCAGATGAGCTGAAAAAACAGTTATAAAAGTAAAGACACCATATAATTACCAAAGTACAAAATGTCAAGTGAAAATGGGGAAATAGAACCGGGCGCGGTGGCTCATGCCTGTAATCTCAGCACACTGGGAGGCCGAGGCGGACGGATCACGAGGTCAGGAGATCGAGACCATCCTGGCTAACACGGTGAAACCCCGTCTCTAAAAATAAAAATTACCCGGGCGAGGTGGTGGGCGCCTGTAGTCCCAGCTCCTCGGGAGGCTGAGGCAGGAGAATGGTATGAACCCAGGAGGTGGAGGTTGCAGTGAGCAGAGATCACGCCACTGCACTCCAGCCTGGGCGACAGAGCCAGACTCTGTCTAAAAAAAAAAAAAAAAAGAAAGAAAGAAAAAGAAAATGGGGAAATAGGACTGGAGGAAGATGCTTTACATTATCAAGTGTGGTTGTCTCTGCGTGATGGATCCATAAGGATTTTTTTTCCTCCCTTCTACTTTTATTTTTTTTTTTAAATTTTATAGTGGACTTTTACCAGTTATATAATGAAGGAAAAATAAATAATTCCTTTAAAATATTTCTGCTGCTATTAATGCTTCCCTTCATGTTACAGGTAGCAATGTGTACTCAGTATGTTTGGTGTCTCACGAGTATCCAGGTGAACACTGGAGCCATGGAGAGCTCCGTGTCACACCTAAGAAGGTACCCAAACAATTTTGGTGCTCTCAAGAAAGCTTTCTATAAGGGTTTATCAGTGAGCCTAAAATATAGAAAAAGATCATAAAGATTTAAGCGTAAGGAACTTCAGACCCAAAATGGAGTCACTAATGTTAAAAACAAAAACAAAAACTAAAACTAAAACTTTGACAGAGACAGTGAAGACCATGAAGAGAGGGTTCTCACGCTTGAATGCCTGATAACAAAACTATCACAAAGGACTCCGTAAAAAACTACACTCTTGCACAAAGGCCATCACAGCCTTACACAACAAAATACTTGTACAAGGATGTCTACCCAGGAACTCCCCATCCAACCTCACACTGGCATCACCTTCGTTACTGATCTTTTTGCCAAAAATAACTATTTCAAAGGGATTATGTAATCCTCTTTACTTTTTCCTTTAAAAATCTTAGTGTTATTTCACCTCCCTGAATACACACATAGCTTGCTATGGCATGCGTATTTTCATTGTAATGCCCTTTTTCCAAATGTATATATTTTAGAGAGCTTCTCTGTGCTAATTATTAAGGCTGGTAGCCTTTATACATAAACCTTCCCTCCTTCACACAATGAGCTGGGAAATTACTAAAATGAGTAATTCGCTACTGAAAAGTGTCATCAAAGGAAAAAAAAAAGAGTCATATTGAACAAAGGACAACTCCCATGATGAAGGCGTGTCCAGGGGCCCGCGGTCAGGGATGACGCAAGCTTTCAGTTTCATCTCAGGTGTACGTTCCCTCTCCTTTCCACAAACGTCTGGGGACAAGCACTGATCTGGAATCATTTTCAGAGGTTCTCTGAACGTTGGTGAGACTAAGCTGAGCAGTACCTGCACGGTGTGCAGCGGTAACTAAGCACTTGCCCTGGAATCCTTCTGGCAAATTTCCGTTGATGCCCTCCCTGAGCTGTTGGTACAGAAACAACTTGAAACAGGTATTAACCCTCCTTACCAATGAAAGTTTATAGTTACAGTCTCTTGCTGCAAAAAAGAGGTAGGTCTTTGCAACTTATATTTCAAATAATTTCAGTATCATTTTCTAAACAAAGATTCCGTGCTAGGACAAGACAGCTTGGATGGTCTTTTCCAAGGGATTAACGGAGGAAAGTTTCCCCCAAATAAATCTCGGTGGAGCAGAGTTCCTGCCTCCCTGCCCTGCCCCCCTTCTTTCCCGGTGGACCCCCGCCTCCCTGAAATGGCCACTGCATACTCGGGCCCCAGTCCTGCCCTCCTTTCTCAGTGGCTGTGGAGTATGAGTGTGATGCTGGTGACAGAACATGCAGCCCAGGCCAGTCCCTGCTCCTGGGGCACAGGCAAGCTTACCTGGGCCATCTGGGTTGCGGTGTTTCCCTTTGCCCCTAGGAGAACCATGGCCAGGGCAGAGGAGATGCTCACAGGAGAACAAAACACGTTGCGCGTAGGGTTGTCTTGACATAGTATCTTTAAAAGGCGTATGGCAAAGGTACCACTTGCATTAGAAAGAGTTTCCATGATGCAGGGCCTGGAAGTGAAGAATAAAGAGAAATGCAGTTTTGACACTCCCTGAATGTTACTGACCTACTTACTACAGGGCAATTTTGGAATCGTACTTTTTGTTTTCTTCTCAAAGTTCATAAGTATTTCAAGTTGGAGAAAATTTTATTTTCTGTTAGTCTCCAGCCAAAAACTAAGGGAGGAGGAGGAAAATGCTGTTCTTATTCTTGCATGCATTTACAAAGAGTCCTTGTGAGATTTTCAACTGGGCACCAGCAAATATTAAGGTAATTAGCTAAGTGTGGTGATGGCAGCAGCTCAAGCCAGCAATAGCAACAGAACTGGCTCGCCTGCAGAGTTCTCTCTCTCTCTCTCTCTCTTTCCCGCTTTCTCTCTCTCTCTCTCTCTCTCTTTCTCGCTCTCTCTCTCTCACACACACACACACACACAGAGAGAGAGAGAGAGCTGGGAGCAGTGAACTCCAATTCTTTCTGTAAGGACCTGATCGTCCCATCTGAGGAAGAGAATGGGCTCAGGAAGGAGGAGGAAAATGCTTTTCTTATTCTTGTATGCATTTACAAAGAGTCCTTGTGAGATTTTCGACTGGGCACCAGCCTGTGGCCTCCCTGTCATTCAGCTGATACCCAAAAGACACTGAGATGCTGAGCCTGACCCAGAGACAGACAGCTGTGAGGCAAGGAACTGTCATCCACAGAGGCAAGTGAGTGTGTCCTGGACAGCTGGGATGGAACCAGTCTGCTCCGTCAGCCAGCCTGCCCCAGGCCCACACGGCCTGACATCCCAGTAACTCCATTCAGAGCTCCTGCCCATCACTAGCTTCTGGACATCATGTGACCCTTGAACACTGAAAGTGGGACTTAGACAATTGTGTGTTGTTTTTGCTTCGTTTTGTTTTGTTTTTAATGTGCTTGCTAACTCAGAAACATCTATTTGGGAACTTTACTCATTACTCCCAGCAAAAGCCATGAGTGTAGATGGTGCATGAGAGGAAGGAACTGATCCCTGCAGAACGCCAGAATGGAAAGGCAAGAAACAGCCCAAGGTGAGGAGTAAAACAGGTGAGAACAAGGGGGTGGTGCCTGTGAAGCCACTGGAGGCCAAAGTGTGAATGTGAGGGGGTGGGTCTCTTCTCCACAGGTCTGAAACCAAATGAACCCCCACCCCCAGGCTGCAGTTCCCAGTGCCCTTGGAAATGAGACCCTCATGCCTCCAGGTGAGCCTGGGAGACCTCCCTGACCCCTTTCCATCCCCCTCCTCCCCCACACCCATCCCCAAGACTTGCACTCTGTGTCCACATTTCTTTCCACTGCGGATCCTGTGCCTGGCCTAATGCGCAGGCCCCCCTCCCGAGCCTCTGGTCTCCCTAGAGCCACTCCCCACTGTCGGGACACCTCATCTGTGCTCCCCAAAATGCCACACAAAGCACTGGAGAGCCTTGGACAATGAACACAACCCGCTTCCCCCAGCCACCACCGGGCCACAGCCACACAGCATCCTCAGAAAGCCGTGTCTTAATCCTCTTGTCCTTCCTCCTAAATCTCCCGGGACCCTTAGGATCCGCTCAAAGCCACCTTGTTAAAACGTTTCTTCCGCCGGGCGCGGTGGCTCAAGCCTGTAATCCCAGCACTTTGGGAGGCCGAGACGGGCGGATCACGAGGTCAGGAGATCGAGACCATCCTGGCTAACACGGTGAAACCCCGTCTCTACTAAAAATACAAAAATCAGCCGGGTGTGGTGGCGGGCGCCTGTAGTCCCAGCTCCTCGGGAGGCTGAGGCAGGAGAATGGTGTGAACCCGGGAGGCGGAGCTTGCAGTGAGCTGAGATCCGGCCACTGCACTCCAGTCTGGGCGACAGAGCGAGACTCCGTTTCAAAAAAAGAACGGTTTCTTCTCCACCTGCCCCCTCCCTTGATCCAGCCTCGCTCAGGTCACAGCCTCCACCTCTGGCCATCCTGAACCCCTCCCAAAGTCACCTCTTCACAAACTCCTGGTCCCCCTTAGAAGGCCCCATGTCCATCACGGGATTAATTCTACTCACCCTCAAACACCGCGGCCTGGAGGCTTCATTCCCACCCTAAAGGAGGTTCCCTTGACCCCGCCGGCGCAACCCTCCCCAGAAGGTGACTCCTCATCTTGCTGGCGGTCCCCACAGACCGCAGGCCCTGCAGGCGACGGCTGAGCCTGGCTCCGCGGATTCATAGTCCCTGGAGGAGTAATCCGAAGAAGGACGGGCCCCATCTGTTTCGCTGAATTATTGAAAGAATTAAGATGGATAAGAGTGCTCGGATTTGAAACTCGAGACTGGTGGCTTTATTTTGTTGTTGGTGGTGGTGGTGGGGTTTTTTGTGTTTTGGGGGGATTTTTTTGTTTACTTTTGTTTTGAGACGAAGTCTCGCTCTGTATGCGGCCCGGTTGGAGTGCAGTGGCGCAACCCCAGTGCACTGCAACCTCCGCCTCCCGAGTTCAAGTGATTTTCCTGCCTCAGTACGTAGCTGACATTATTACAGGCGTTCGCCAACATGCCCGGCTAATTTTTGCATTTTCAGTAGAGACCGGTTTTCACCACTTTTGTCAGGCTGGTCTCGAACTCCTGATCTTAAAGGATCCGACCGCCTCGGCTTCCCGAAGTGCTGGGATTGCCGGCGTGAGCCACCGCGCCCGGCCGAGACTGGTGACTTTAAAGGACAGAGAAGCAGCAGGACAGACGTCATCCTGCGGCTCCCAGAGCAGAGAGGAGCAGTGAGAAAACAGGGCCGGCCGGTGGGGAGGGGCTGCAAAGCAGGGCTTCCGCCCGGGAAGGGCAGCGAGCGGACCTGGGAGAGGGAATGGTCCGCGCTGGCTGTGGGCCGCCAAGGCGGAGGCCGGCTGCGCGCTCCAAGGCACCCCCGGAAGCCGTTGCTGGCCCCACCGAGAAGGCACCGCCTCTCCGGGGCTCTTGGCTGAGCGACCGCTCCTGTCCTCCGGTCCCACCTCTCCGTGGCAGCCGGGTCTTGAGGTTCGCCACTCCCGTGCTCCACCCCGGCCCCGCGCGGGGACGCCCGCACCTACCACCGAGTCCAGCGCCGCCGCCGTTTCCGTGCCGCGCTCCGAGCCTGGACGCCGATCCCGGAGGTGCAGGACCCGGCCCTGCTGCTGCGCTCGCCGCGGACTCCCACTAGGGCCTCTGCGGGCACCGCTTTTATACCGCAGGGGGTCGGGCCCCTCCCACGCTTTCTGGCTTCAGGCGGAGCCTGGCGGGACCAGCGGGGGCGGCGCGCGTGGTGGCCGAGGTCAGGGCTAGGGGAAGGGGCAGGCCAGGGTCCCCCAGTCCTCCCGGCCCAGGGCGATGTCCGCGAATGCTCCCGCCAGCCTGAGGCCAGCCAGGTTCCCAAGGCGCGCGCCAGGGCCGCTTCGGGATCGGGTTTTGAACCCAGTGAAATTCTGAGCCCAGAGAAGTGGGTCGGGTGACAGCCAAGCTCCATGTTCCAGTGGGAAGGCCCCATGGGTCTGTGTTCCACGCCTCTTGTCATGAATAGGAGGGATTCACTTAGAACCAAAGCGTTTGTTCCAGGTCCCACCACTAACTAGTACCATTTGTTCCAGGTCCCACCACTAACTAGTACCAGTCCCGGGCCCAGAACCAGGCTCCTCACTCCTGGCGCCCGAGCCCCTCTCCAGCCACAGGTGCTTGGGCTGCGGTGCGGTGTAAGCAGCCCCATTTTCCCGCGAAGTGATGGGAAGAGACACTGAGTCACATGGGCTCCGGACACTCCTTGTGTCCTCTCTCGGGGGTCCAGAGGCAGGGACTCGGGGGAGTTGATGCAGCAGTTCGTAATGTCATCAGATATCCCCCTACCCCGCTCCATCCTAGGCTGGACGCAATTGGAAGCATTTCATGTTGGCACGTGCCGTCCAGAGGAAGAGAACGGACCAAATGCCTCTCTCTGGAGCACTGAGTGTCTCCCAGAAGCCGTGTCCTCCTGTTTCGAATTGACCAGAATTAGAGCTTTCTCCTGAGGGCCTGAATTAGGGAGAGGCAAGGCAGGTGCCTAAGGCACAACATTTCAGGAGGGCCACACTCATAGGTGCCAACCCTGCATTTGCGTGGCCCTGAGAATCAGAGCCTCCTTCAATTTTAAACCCTAGGTGCCTAGCTTGTTTTTTAAAATAAGACCTTTATTAAAAGACAATTCACGGACCATAATATTCGTCCTTTTAAAGCATACAATTCAATAGTTCTTGGTATATTGACAAAGCTGTCCAGCTCTCACCACTGTCTAACTCCAGAAGGTTTTCATCACCCTAAGAGGAACTGTGATACCCATTAGCAATTATTCTCTATTTCCTCCTCCTCACAACCCCTGGCTTCTGGGAGACGCTCTGTACTCCACAGATTTATTTTCTGGCCCTGTGGATTGACCGACTGTGGAGATTTCATGCAAATTGAATCATACAATAGGTGGTCTTTCGTGACTGCCCTTCTTTCACTTAGCAGAATGTTTTCAAGGGTCATTCTTGATGGTTCCAGGTAGCATTTATCAGTACTTTTATTTATTTTCATAACTGAAAAATACTTATAAAAATATTATAAAATCAAAAGGGAAATTAGAATGTATTTTGAAATTAATAAAAAATGAAAGTAAAAACATCAAAATTTGTAGGATGTTATTAAATCAGTACTTTGGGGAAACTTTACAGCATGAAATGCCTCTATTAGGAGAGGAGAAAGGCTTCAAATCAATGACCTCAGTTTCTGCCTTCAAAAACTAGAAACAGTATAAATACATTAAACACAAAATCAGTAGAAAAGAAGAAATAATAAAGATTGAAGAATAAGTCAATGAGATAGAATTTATAACGATAGAGAAAACTGATTAAACAAGAAGCTGTTATTTATTTATTCATGTACTTTTTTTTTTTTTTTTTTTTTTTTTTTGAGATGGAGTCTTGCTCTGTCGCCTAGGATGGAGAGCAGTGGCGTGATCTTGGCTTGCTGCAACCTCTACCTCCCAGTTCCAGTGATTCTCCTGCCTCAGCCTCCCAAGTAGCTGGAACTATAGGCATACACCACCATAACCGGCTAATTTTTATATTTTTAGTACAGACGGGGTTTCACCGCGTTGGCCAGGCTGGTCACGAACTCCCGACCTCAGGTGATCCTCCCGCCTCAGCCTCCCAAAGTGCTGGGATTACAGGCGTGAACCACTGCGCAAACATGTTAGCTGCCTCTGTGCTCCAAGGCCAGAGGAAAAGTCCTTTCAATCCAAATCATATGACCAACCATGGAAAATGGGTTTAGCAAAGGATAAAAAAAACAGAACTATGAAAACAAAAGTTATTTTAGTTTTTCCTTTCCTTTCTCCTCTTTCCCCAACAAAAGGTTATACAGGGGGCATGAAATCTGTTCAGAAATAGCTAAGAATCAAGAGATTTTGCAATTATGTATATTTTTCATTTAAAATCTCTTCTACTTTATTACTTTAAGAAAGTCACAACATACCACAAAAATATTTCTTTACCTGATCACTTTTAACGGTTTTCCCAGATGGAAGATACACAGGGCCCCAGAGGAAGCATTTTTCCAGGATTTTCCAACACTGTCCAGAAGAAGGGAGTCTTTGATCCTCACACCAGGTCCAAGGATTTTTCAAAAATCACTACTTCATGATCAGACAAGCACTAGAGAAATAACAGAATCCTGTTGCTGGCCTGCAAACCTGGCAAACATGTGTAAGCAGACCTCCATCACTGGACCGCAGCAGGACACAGGGAGGACCCGCCCAGCAGCAACTTCCTTCCTAACTCCAAATTCACTGCAAATAAAGTCCCTCACCACCAGTGACCCAGCCATTGTGCGTCTCCGGACTCTTCTGTATCTTTAGCAAAGGCCACGTTTTCCAGCTCTGCCTGTGGGCGTCTGACACACTTCCTTAAAGGCCTGGAGAGAGCAGGATATGGAGCGTGGCCCTGTTCACTCTGCAAAGGTTTCCACAACCTTGAAAACATTTCCCTGCCTCTAACATGTTCCTACCATACATGTGACACAGTCAGGCTCCATTCTAAGTCTTACGCATTCAGTTAACAAAAAATAATTGGCTGCCTGCCCTGGGCTTGGCTTGGCACTTGCTGTGTACTTGGTACCAAGTTGAAGAGACGATATCTGGCCCAAGGGGGCTGCAGTCTGAGGCAGAGATGGCGAGCACACCGAGGTACTTCCAAGGTGCCCTGAACGCCCCCAGAACGCCCCAGCCCAACACTTAAGCTCCATAGGGACTTTCTGCTAAATCTTCTGTCTCCCACACTGGACTGTGAGCCTCAGGACAGCCTAACCCTCCTTTACCAATTTTTATATTAGCACACTGGACATTTGGCCTCTGGTACCTGCAGGTTCCGCATCCACAGATTCAACCAACTGCAGATGGAAAATATTTGGAAAAAAAGTAAAAAAAAAACCACATCAATAAAAAAATACAGATTTTAAAACAATACAGTATAACGGCTATTTGTACAGCATTTACACTGTATTAGGTATTATACATAATCTAGAGATGATTTCAAGCGTGTGGGAGGATGTTACACACGTTACATTTGCATAGGTTATATGCAAACACTACACCATGTTATATTAGAGACCTGAGCATCCGCAGAGCTCAGTGTTCACTGGGATCCTGGCATCAATCAGATACCAAGAGACAACTGTATTTGTTGAAGCCCATTTGTTGAGCGATTGAGAGGCTTCATGCTGGGATTAGATGATCAAGAAATAGAGATCTACGAGCGGGCACACAGGGAAACAGCATCATCGAGGTGGCTTGAGAGAACAGGGACCAAGGAAGGTCTCTGAAGATGGACTTGGAAGGGTCTGGAGGGTGTGTGTGTGTTTATGTGCTCGAGTACGTGCGTCGGGAGGGGGATAAGAAGAACACAACAGCAGGAGAGGAGCCCTGAAATGTATGTTGAGGTCAAATCGAAAGGGCCTGTATGCAATACTTTGAAGCCCAGAGCCGACTCCCTTCTGTGCTCCCCTGGTTTCAGCTATAATGGGCTTGGCACGAGGCTCCCATCCTCTGCCCAGATTCCTGTTCTCAAACAATCTTGCTTCTACAGAAGAGGATGTGGATGGGAGAAGGGGCTAGGCAACGAGAAGGGTGGCAGGTGGCCCCCTGTGTCCCCAGTATTCTCCAATTACAATAGTCAGAGATCAGGCCAATGTTCAGAAATGATTCCTGGGATCACTGGTGCTTATCCAGCCAAAGGGCCCAGAATCTGCCCCAGTGGGGTTTAAGCCCAGAGCAGGCAACCTCCACAGGACAGTCCCCGGCAGCAGTGATCACAGGGATGTATTTGGATCTTACACAAGAACCCTTGGAATCCAGCCAGTCCGGTGGCCAGGATCACCCCAGGCAGCTCACGGATCTCAAATAACATCATCCTGCATGCTACGTGGTAGAATGTGTTTGAACCTCATGTACTGCGTTATGGAAGGGTTTTTTCTGGACTGTAAGTACATGTTTAAGTAAATAGAAGCTACTCAAATTTAAAGCCTCAGTTTAATGAACAGATTTTTTATTTACAAAAACTGTTCTGTCAGTAATGGGGGTTTATGAGATAAGGGGAGGTTTCAGGCTGGGCTTGGAGAGAGTGGTTAAGAGGTAGTTAAGATGGTAGTGTAGAAGCTGAAGGGGGATTGTGAACCCAGGCAGTAGCAGAGATGACTCAGAAAGGGGGCAAATGTAAGAGGCCTTGAGAGGAAACCAGTCCAGCGCCCAGAGGTGAGATGGGGGAGGAGGCCCGGATGGCTGAGCCTCGTGCTGCGTGCTGGAAGACAGGGTTTAAGGAAGAGAAGCAGATTTGGGTGCAGGATAATGGACGTATTGAAATTGACATTGGAAGAGAGTTATCAAAAAATAAACAAGAGAGATGTAATTTAGAAGCAATATTAAAGATCAAAATTAGACCAGGCACAGTGGCTCACGCCTGTAATCCTAACACTTTGGGAGGCCAAGGCAGGTGGATCACTTGAGGTCAGGAGTTCAATACCAGCCTGGCCAATATCGTGAAACCCCATCTCTACTAAAAATACAAAAATTAGCCAGGTGTGGTGGCATGTGCCTGTAATCGCAGCTACTCAGGAGGCTGAGGCAGGAGAATCGCTTGAACCCAGGAAGTGGAGGTTGCAGTGAGCCAAGATCGTACCACTGCACTCCAGCCTGGGCAAAAGAGTGAGACTGTCTCAAAAAAAAAAAAAAAAAAAAAAAAGTCAAAATTATAATTACACAAGTGCAATTCTAAGTACATGTGACGGCAGTAGAATTATGCATATTCTCTACTCTTCTGTAGTTGCTCTTTTATTTTCCTTTTCATTGATTGTACTACTTACTAAAACATGTTTTTTCTCCAAAGTCTGTCAGCAATTCCAAGATATGTTCACTTCAATGGGAAGTGACTGGAAGTCTTGGTGAACATCTTTATCTTTGTTTAAACAAAGTGCCTGGTAAAACTAAACAGCAACGTCAACTTTGAACATTGCCCTCTTAATTCCCCTAAAGAGGGACCTCCAAATGAATCTCTACACAGAAAATTAGGTAGGCTCCTATAGTGAAATGATTTAATTGTCTAGCACAGGGTTTCTCAACCAACGCATTGCTGACATGTGGAGCCAGATCATTCTTTGCACTGGGGACTGTCCTGTGCACCATAGGATGTTCAGCAGCATCCCTGGCCTCCACCCGCTCCATGCCAGGAGCACCTACCCCTCAACAATGACAAGCAAAAATGTCTCCACACATTGCCAAATGTCCTCCAGGCTGGGGCACAGTTGCCCCCTAGGTTAGAACTATGGGTCTGGCAGATTTATTCATGCTAGGAAGCCTCGATAACAGGAGGAAGACAGAACAGAGAAAAAAAAAAAATTAGTCTTCAGATTTAAATCTAACATGGCCCCAGGAACAAAGAAAGAGCAGACATCAAACTGAAAATGTTTCACCAGTAATTTTACAGAAGTTCTCTAGGTAACACTATGATTTAAATGTCAAGCCACAGTGAAAATGAAGGTTGTTCCTCTATCTCCCTCCCACCCTTAGCCCAAAGGCCCTTCCACCAGAAGCTGGAAGAAACAGCTGCAGGGGGATCTTCAGCTGGGGTCTGTGGATGCAGTTGGAGAGGTCAGCCAGATACCGCTAATGTGACTTGCACAACAGTGCACAGGTGGTAACGCGCCGAGACACTTCCCCAGATTACCAAACAAACCTGAGACTAAAAAGGTTAAGGACTGCTTCCCTAAAGCAGTAGTCACTACCTCAGTTGTACATATCGTCCCCATTATCCGTTTTGGAGCAGTCAGAATATATTTGCCCTCTACGCTCCAGAAGATACACGTTCGCATTTGTGTTTTTTCTTTTCTTTTTTCACGTATTCGTTATCATCCACTAAAAATAACCCATTTTACGGAATGTTCATTGACAGCTGCAATTCTATTTTAAACACATTTTTTAGCAAAAGTTTAAAACATAAAATTGAAATTCTTTGTCTTTTTGTGGAATAGCTTTACCTTACTTACCAAAGATGCAATTTTGCTATGATTTATGGATGCTTTTGTCTAGAGAAAAGAACTTCATCACTTGATGGAGATTCCTCATCCTGCACAGTTCACCTTTCTATCCACGTCTGCCCTCTGCTGTCATGAGGTCCTTCCTGCCACCTACAGGCCACCCCAACTTTCACCGGCTGATGTGAAGGTATGAAAAGGCCCCTCTGTGGAAACACAGGAGAAAACTTGCCGTCATTCTCCCCATGTGATAGGTACACTTCCACCTGTCCCCATGAGGACCATGGCCATGGCAGAGGAGATGCTCAGGGGCAAGAAAAACACATTTCATGAGTTGCTGTCATCACCCTCCTCCTTAATAAACTGATGGCAAAAGTGCCATCTGGGCAGGGCACGGTGGCTCACATCTGTCATCCCAGCACTTTGGGAGGCCGAGGCGGGTGGATCACTTGAGGTCAGGAGTTCAAGACCAGCCTGGCCATCACGGTGAAACCCTGTCTCTACTAAAAATACAAAAAATTAGCCAGGTGTGGTGGCACACACCTGTAATCCCAGCTACTTGGGAGGCTAAGGCAGGAGAATCACTTGAAGCCAGGAGGTGGAGGTTGCAATGAGCCGAGATCACGCCACTGCATTCCAGCCTGGGTGAAAGAGTGAGAGTCTGTCTCAAAAAAAAAAAAAAAAAAAAAAAAAGTGCCATCTGCACCTGAATTCATCCATCAGGGAAGGTCTGGATCAGGAGCACATCAACCAAGCCCTCTATGGCCACCTAGTCGTCAGTCCCCAGTCAGTGGACACTGGGGTGTAGCCGGCAGAATAACGCCCCTTGCCGAAGATGTCTTACCTCCTAATCCCCAAAACCGGTGACTGTCTTACATGGCAAAAGGGATGTTGCCGATGTGATCACTCTAGTTAAGAATCTTGAGATGGGAGACGTGCTGGTTATCTGGTATTATGTTCATTTAATTGTTACTGTAATCGGGTTCTTGTGTGGCCTGTGTGCTAACTTAGATCAAAGTCAGAAGGGCTCACAATGACCCAGTAACCAATGTGCAATGCTTAAACGTGGTTTATTGCCAGAGACTCACATATACCCAGTCAAGCACACATTAACAATACAATGTTTTCTCATTGTTTATTTTCCCGTGAGTGATGGGAATGACATGATCCGATTACTAAAAGCAGTAATGAGGGGAATGGCAAACCCAAGCAGTGGCTCAGAAGGCTAACACAGCAGACACTCCTCTCACACACAGCCTCTGGGCAGCCGCTGTCTCATCCGGAGGCGGCATCTAAGTTCCTACAGGCAGGAATTCTCAAGATGCCTCTGGCAGTGTCAGTTCCTTGCTGTTTTTATGGTTTTCCCCAGGTGTGTCCATCAGAGATTTTCTGAATCAGTAGAAAGGAATGTCTGGATGATGATAAGGGGTTGTGGACACCAAGGTTTTATCATGCAGGCGAAGCCTCCAGGCAGCAGGTGTCAGAGATAATAAACTGTAAATGTTTCTTATCAGACTTAAAGTTGGCTCTATCAGTAATTCCAAAAGGGCAGAGTGTATAATGAGGCATGTCCGGCTCCCCTTCCCATCATGGCCTGAACTAGTTTTGCAAGTTAGCTTTGGAATGCCTTTGCTGAGAGGAGGGGTCTGTATAGATGACTGAGGGCTTAGAATTTTGTTTTTGGTTTACACACATGACAGAAGCCACTCCATTTTTAGACATTAGGATCACGAATCATTCTTACAGATCATCTGGGTGGGCTCAGTGTGATCACAGGTCCTCATGAGAGAGGGAGGAGGGTCACATCCAGAGAAGGAGATGTGAGGACAGATGCAGAGGTCAAGGCGATGTGGAGCCACATGGAACACAGGCGGCCTCTAGAAGTTGGAAAAGGCCAGGAAGCAGATTC